AATCGTTTACTCACCCATTATAAGCAATACACCGAAGACGAGCGCGAAAAGCATCCACAGCCGAAGGCCTGGAGCAACGTAATCGTCCAAAGCCGACAAGTGACTGGCATCCATCTCCTTAGATGAACTATTCATTAATTACATCAGCCTTCACGAGAAATACAAAAAATTCGAGCATTCTCTCACATCTATAAGGAAGCGTTCATATTTTGTGTTAGGCAGCGTTCAGACTTCGCGACGGCAGCGCTACGGTCGCCTAATGGACGCGATCGATGCGTCTCAGGGCACTTGTCAACCGAGAAGCCTCTCCTCTCTTTCCTTTTTTCTTCCTCCCTCCTTCTTTTCCTTCCTTCCTTCTCTGATCCCTCCTCCTTTACCTTCTCCCTTCAACTACTGGACTGGTATGCCTCGTGAAAATAACCCTGGACCCTCGCAGCGAGAGCACGTCTGGTTGACAACAGCCCCGTAACCCGATCGATGTAGTCGAAAGCATGCGTATCGATCGCACCAAACGCGCGACCGAAGCGCTGCCGTCGCGAAGTCTGAACTCTGCGTAAGCGTTTTGGGCATCGCTCAGCGTTTTGAGTTTTGGCGTCTCGCTCAATCCGCTGACTGATGCCTTTATTTTCCTAGTGGCTCAAACCGCAACGAAAACTCAAAACTATGTTGTGAAATAAGAACACACTCCTCAGACTGCAACACTGGAGAATAACTGCACTAGGGAAATTGAAGAATTCACGAAGAGGAAAGCATGTGAATTCATCTAGAGAACTGGATAGTTTGAGTGGAGGACTAGAATGTATTGAGCTTCCATGCTCAACACGGAGAGAAACAACCTATTTGCAGTAAAGGTAGCGTTCATACTTTGCCATCCAATCGTTTGGATCGCGATGACGATAAAAGCATCGCGAAAATGCAGAGAAGCGAGTTCGATCTATATAAATACGCCGAGATTTAAAGAAAGCTATATGATGGAACCAGAGCATCGCTGAAGCGATCCGATCGCGCGATCAAAACTCAAGCTCAGACCACGAAGTATGAACGAGCTCCAAGAATAAAATGCATATTGATTTTGTCGATTCTGTCCGAGTGATGACTTGCACACGCCGCAACGCAAGCGAAATTCCAACCTAACACCTTTCTGGTTTCTCATATTTTCCTACTCCCTATCTTACCCCATTTTCTTCGGCGTTTGCAAAAAGTTCCCGGTCAAAAATTCGTTGTCTAGCAGGGTGGGGTGAGGGGGGTGGAGAAAGAGACCGTTGAGTTCTCCAAATGTGTATTTTTCGGACCAAATACGCTCCCACCCTAACGGCCAAATATGACCCTCCCCGCTGGGGATTCCTCAGCGTACGACGTGCCCTGTTCGATAGGTCTCCACAGCGTTCTTTGCTATCTGTTAGTCCGCGCGGTAGCTTTAATACCTTGCGACAGTGAAGAATTGCAGACTGGGCCACTTGCGACCAGGGTACAGGATCGTTGTGTGAAACACATGGAGGGGGGAGGGGTCGTACTTTTGCGCTGAGAGGGAAATTGACCATGTTGGGGAAGAATTTTTCGCAGTTGCTGACTTTTCGTGATTTTTTTTTGTGTTTCACCTGCACTACATACCCCCCCCCCTTCGGCTCACCGGAAAACGGAGAACTTTGGATGAAAAACTGGAAAACGTGATAAATCGGTAGGTAGGTGTTGGGGAATGGGGGGGGGTGTCGCACACCTACACCACCATTTCACACATCACGTGCTGTACCCTGGTTGCGACCCCCTCCCCGCCTACAGGACCGAATATAACTTTTATTCACCGAGAATTCCAGGTGTACGATCTGCCGTGTTAGGAAATAGTCCATGGATAGGTTTTTATCTTCTTTGCTCTTCATATTTTCCTTTTAAAGGCAAGCTTTAAAATAAGTGTAAATGAACAAGTAAAATGACTGCGTACAATCAAAAACCCCGCCGCAATATTATACTCACACGATACATTGAAAACTTCTTAGAATTAACGTAAACATGGCTGTGTTAGAAGCAATTTGGGAAATGCGGTGGGTCAATACCGGAAATAGCCGTGCGGTGGGGTGGAATGACATTGGGTGTGGAGGCACGTACGATAAAAGAGGTCGAAATCAATAATTACAGAGGGTGTGAAGATAAAGTGCACGGATTTGAGGTGGTGAAAATGATTAAAAGCGTCAGGTGCGTGCACGAGGGGAGGGCTACACCAGCCAAGTGTCCCGAGGGAAACACCGACGGCTGCTGTTGCTGCTGCCCAGTCAAGCATCACAACGACTTGAAACGCCACGGTGCAAAACCACCACGCAACAATGAACACATGACTCGGTAAGTCGTTGTCGATGGGCAACACAAGCGGAAAATCAAGGACTGCCAAACACAAATTACCCCCCTGAAGCAATCCCCAATGATGTAGTGTTTGTCGTCGAGTTCGTTGTTTTATGTGGTTACTACGGTCAGTACAATTTATTCCTCAGTTTTTCGCTTTTAACCAATGTTGACCGCGACACATCGCGTTTTGGCGGACAGCCCGCGTTGGACGATGACGTGTCCCTCGCATGGCGTCCGGCCTGAGGCCACCGGTGGCTCAGGTGGTTGCCGCTCGTGACTCACTTTTGCCGCCTTATGTCAAATTTCGCAAAATGATAAGTTAATCGTGCAGGGACTTCTATTTCAACCATCTTTGACCCACTGGATGGCATCTCATGCCCCGCCCACTGCGATCACGCCCACTTTTCAGCGCGACCGTGATTTCTAACATGTGTGCCATAACTCCCGTTTCTAAGAATTTTCTTGGAATTCTCTGCTTCTGACACTTTTCAATTATTCATAGACCAGTCGGCTCGCCGGCTAACGCCGGCGCGCCTCGCTTCAGATGGCGCGGCTTCGCCTGCGCCGGGCTTTATTTTCTTTCACATATTTCTAGATTCAACTGATATTCCCCTTTTGTTCTGTACTCCACTTTTTTTTCCGGTGTCTGAAGTACCTGAGCTATTTTACACTGAAGCGAACCCTCTGCTGACGCTTAATCCACTCTTTTCACGCTCTTCGGAGTACTCTAGTACCGTATTTACATACCTTGTTTGTCCTGCCCCGCCCAACCTAGACAGGCTCCCCCACACAATAGTTTTGCCCCAAACCCTCACCGGGCCGCACTCTGCTGACCCTCTTGTTCAGCTTTTTTTCTCGGTGTCTGGAGTGTTCTGGAACCGAGCTACAAACTTTCAAAATGAATACCCTGCGATTTAGGGCAAGCTCCGCCCACTGTGGGCGGGTCTCAACACACTTTGAGCGTGCCCTATATTCGCCAGATATTTACATTCTACATTGAGTCTTTTGCGACTTCCAAACACTCTCGCGAACCGGGTTACTGAATTTTGCGAGAAGCACCGCCCACCTTGAGTACGCCCCGCCCATTTTGGATGTGTCTGCCACAGTTAGTCTGGCGACTCCTTACTAACCTTATTCTCTTTTTTCCGCTCCATCTTTAAGCTGCTCCGGAAGCGAATTATGAACATTTTCTGCGGAACCCCAAACTTTCGGCGAGTGCCCCGCCCACTGTGGGCGGGGCTTCCCATAGGTCAAGTGTGCTTTTTATTTCTTGTCCCATGCCCTACCCATCCCCACCTTGACCCGACCTCTCCAAGTCGTTCTTCAGGTCGAACCGAATTTCCGGACAGACAAACTTACAAACAAACAAACAAACTTACAAACAAACAAACAGACAAGCGAATTATATATATATATATATATAATATAATTAATATAAATAATAATATATAAAATTAAATTTATTTTTCTTATCTACAATTATTTATATTATATAAATTATATATATATAAATAAGGAGTGATCCCGAAGACAACTTACAAACTTACAAAACTCACAACAAAAACAGACAGAGCAAATTATATATATGGGGTGATGATGGCTACAACGACACATAGCCGGCCACGCCCACTTTTTACCAGCTTTGTTTCGGGTTTAGTTTTTCTACCAACTATCTCAATTGTTGAAGCTTTCAAATACAATTCTTAAATGTTGTCACAGACAAGCAGTAGCACACAGCAAATGCTTAAGGCTTCCCGCAACAATTAGAGATAAGGTCAAAGTAACCATAAGGTGTAGAGTTGCCCCCACTGGAAATGCGGGATTAAATAGGATCGCTTGCGCCAAAGTGCGCCCTGGCGCCATATGGCGCCAACTTCGGAAGGCAACGATATATTCGTGACAAGGATGTCAAATAACCTAGGTGTAGAGGTTTTTATCGAATTCGGTGTCGAAAAGACTGCTAGCGCCGGAATGGTCCTCACTCGCGCCATAATGCCGCCAAGACAAATGAGATCTCAGGTTCATGACCAAAACCCCGCGCAGTACCTACAACCCAGGTTGCGTCTAGAAAGAACTATTTTGGAGGTTTCTGCCGATGCAGTGGCCTGTTGAAAAATTTCAATTTTTATTTTAAAATATCTCATGCGGCAGCCGACATTTTGCTTGCTCATCCCTTGTTGAAACTCACGCCTTTTTACCCACAGGTACTCGAAAGCAGGAAAAAAGATTGATTGAGACTGCGGCAAGCCGCAAAAGTAATGGAGAAAGTCCTGAGCCACCGGTGGCTCAGGTTGTCCCACGTGGCCACTCACTCATGAGCCACCGGTGGCTCAGGATGTCGTCAACGTGTTAAAAAGCTCCCAATTTTTTGTTTACGTGAATTCGGAGTTTTCACCACATTTTTCCGATTTTCCCCACATAGGCAAAAACCGTTCAAATCCACGTAGCGCCAAAACAATAATTTGTGGATGTTGCTGGTGCAACTGATGGCTCGCTATGGGTGAAGAAGGCTGTATCTACTGGGGAAAGGACGATAGTTGACCCGGCATACTCCTGAAAACACCGCATTGATAGCAGGCTGATCTGCACTGCAGCATTACCTCGCTGCATGGGGGGTGTCCGCGCGGCTACGGTCTACACAACGGACAACTTTAACTCAACCTTTGAACGCGGCGACTTTGTGTATTTTCATCGCCTCTCTCTCTCTATCATCTCGCCGTGGTACTCTCTGGCCATTCCGACTTCGCACATACCAGCTTTTCACCGATTAGAAGTAGCTCACCCACCCCGGAGTCCCCTCCCCTTGAAAAAGCTCGTTTCCTGGTTCGCCACAGTTTCTTGCACATGTCGATGCAAAAGTTCAAGATGTCACCTAACCGAACACACTTTGATACGATATTACTTCATGAAGAAGAAGAAGAACGGGTATATATGATCGCACGTCGAACGCAGCAGCGTGGACTACGTCCGCATCATCTGCTGACCAGGCTTGTCAGTCCTTCCACACATTGTAAAAAACGACGAAAAATAAACTGGCGGTGGTTTGAGGAGGGACAAGAACTTCAGAATTTGTCGCGATTTTGGAAGAGAACTTGGCACGTTCTGTTCTTCATGTCCTGGTTCACTTGGGTTCTTCCGATAACATCTGGTGACTTCCTTGGTAGAAGACCAATGTTGTTTTAGACAATAGTTCAAACTGCGGTGCTACCTGGCCTAAAGGGGAAGGCGTTTCGCACTCATGCTGGTTTTTTTTCTGGCTAATCCCTGATTAAATATACATGTATTCAATCATGGTACGGCCTATAAGCACACTTGTACTGAGACGATGAACCAATTTCAGGGAGACGGCCAAGAGAATCGTAATTTGCTGCTCCCGCGCGCGGCGATGGGCGCGGCGTTTCCTTAACTCGTGTTAACCTGTCGATTGGAGCACCGGACTTCATGTAGACCCCGTCATCGTAGACATTCATGACTATTTTCGGTTCTGAATTGCCTGTTGTCGCCATCTACTACCTGGAACCATCGTTGCGGCGCGACGTCGCACGCGACGCCCAGCAGCGCGGTGAATTACGGCTCTCTTGTCACATACCCCAAATCTCATGCTATTGCAGCTTTGCAGGAGTCTTTACAGGAAGCATCAGCAGTGATCGATGGGAATCAGCAAAATGCTTCCACTAACGAGCTGCGCTCACTGCACCCGGGTTGTTTCAATTTTATGAGCTCATGAATTTCAAATGTACTAGGGCTTATTTATTCGTCTGAAAAAAACTGAAAACTGAAAGAAACTAAGTCATTTTCGTTGTGCTCAGCTTGACAATTTTGGTTAAAGACTTGTTATCTGAAATTCTCATATAAACTAATGGAGGAATGATCACTTGAAAGATGGCAAATTCAAAGATAGATGGATATTTGGCAAGTACTACTGCTAACCGATAGCCGCAACTCGTAATCGATCCAAACTTGGTTTGACATCTCGCCGTTGCCATGGTTGCAAACCAAAGGTTAGGCAGGACGTACCTATTTATTGTGAAGCAATCTACGCCTGAATGGATACAAATAGCCAGGCGCGATGAGTTCGGCGCGGTGCCAAACCCCATTCTCCATGTTTTCAAAGAGAGATGGTTTTGTCGCATGCGCGCTTCAACAAGAAGGCAGAGAACGGCTTTGACAGGTGACACACTCATACTGCCTGACACGCCCAACCGTCCGCAGCGAACTAGAGTGTACCATGAGTTAGCTCCGCCTTCGTGAGCTAGTTCCTCCCCGTTCGATTTTTCGTTAGGCCACGTTCATATTTTTTCGGCAGCCTCCACCAGCGTCTACCTGCGTCCACCAGCTAGCGTTCCGAGCTTCGGCAGTGTCAGCGACTAGGAAAGTATAGATATCGATCTAGCGTCTGCCAGCGTCCACCAGCGTTCACCAGCGACCGGAGTAGAGAGTATGGGGAAGTAGGAGGGTAGCAAACAGCTGGATTAGGCGTCGTGAAATTGCGGCGTGTACAACCGCACCGCACAACTGCTAAAGCACAGAATTATGCAATTAATGTACGGTGTAGTGCAGTTGTACGGTGCGGTTGCACACGCCGCAATTTCACGACGCCTAATCCAGCTGTTTGCTACCCTCCTACTTCCCCATACTCTCTATTCTCGGTTGCTGGTGAACACTGGTGGACGCTAGATCGATACCAGTACTTTCCTAGTTGCTGACGCTGCTCGGAACGCTGTCACTGGTGGACGCTGTCGCAAAGTATGGACGCACCTTTACCAAACCTTGTTGGCGGTGACAGTATCTCCACAGGAAGATCTTAGCAAATATGTGTGGGAGAAGGAGCTAGCAGCATGACAGCGAGCTAGATCAGAGAGCTCGCCCCGAAGTTCGATTATACTCGCTCCATTTTCAGTCCCGCATATGGGTTTTAACTCGTCCATTTTCAGTCCCGTATACGGAGTCTTGTTTGGTGCGTTTTCGTGGCTTCTTTTGCTTTTTTTCTTTATTAGCATCCCATTTACCGCATGTGATTTTGAGCTCTACAACCTGCGAAAGTTGTGGGAGTTGTCCTTGAGTCGAAGCATTTTACACTGCCTATCTCGGAGGTGACTGGGCGTGGCTGCGTACTTCATTTGAACGTGAGGCTGGGTTCCTTCCGGGTGCTACCATGTTCGGACAGTTGGAATAAAGTACATGTCCAGCACAAGTTAGGATGGCAATTGTGTGAAACGGAAAGATAACACGAAAAACGCTCAGCGCGCCGCGATCAGACAGGTGCGCAGCCACGCCCTCCTCATCTTCGTGACATGAAGTGTGAGAAACCCCCTAATAAGAGCATAAAGACACAACAACTGTCAAAGTACATTTCATTTGGCACAAAATATTGACAACAAAACATCGTGTAAAACTGCACAACAAAACGATTTGGCAAATAATGTGTAAGTATATGAGAGCATTATATCACAGCAATACATATATACTGACAATACTCAGTAGTAACGTGAAAACCTATACAATAGCACTAACACAGCACCGGTTCATCTAGGAAACGCGTAACAACGTAAGTAGTGAGAAAAGTTGCCTTATTAGTTGATGATGACGATGATAGTGATGATGATGAGAACAAAGTTAAAACAAGCACCCCCTAAACATAGGGAAATCAAGCACTGCTCTTTCTGAGATATCCGTTACTGAAAGGCAAAATTACCAAACACATTGAAAGTTGCCCAAACCTGACTCGATGTCGTAAGCGAATCTTTACGAATTGCGACTGCGCCAAATACTTTTATACAATTACGCTTTAACGATTAATCGTTTTCAAAAGCGCAATGAGCCAAAATGTAACAATTAACGAGTAATGAATACGTTAACGAAAGAGCGCAGTAAGATTCATAGCTCCTCGTGCGACTTCAATATTACGAATGGTCGCTTTGGAAAGTGATTGAGTTTTGAGATTCTTTGGGCCGAGTCGATTTTGCGTTGAACCCATTCAATGTCCTCTGCCATATAAGTAAAAATGAATTCATCAACGGTTTCCTAAACGGGTTCAGATTATTGCAGTAAATGATGATTTTGGGCGCAATTCAACTTGGAGGGAGCCTAGTGATAGTGCAAAATACCTTCCCCCTCTAAGCCGAACAGCGCCAAATTTTGATACGAGTGTGGAACAGATCCTAGTTGAAAGAATTCGGCCAGGGGCCGTGGTCAGATTTGTTGAGGGCAGTCCCCAAGCTCGAACATTTCCTAGGCGTTCTCCCTTGTGCGTCCTCACGCAGCATCACAGGAAGTGAAGAAGGCGCCTCATAAATGGCTTCTCCGACGCTTCCCTAGTTGTCCCGCTCACCGAAATTCGAAGGCTACTCTTTTTCAC